TTTGGAAAAATACTTATGCAACTCCAGCCTTCACATTCACAATTCATAATGGCCTCCAGGACAATGAAATTTGAAAACTATTCTTCCCTGAAAGCTTAGGTTTTTGACCAATATAGTCCCAGCAATCAAGTGGCCAGGGCAATGAGAAGGGAAGCTAGTATATTTCAAAATGGTTTTGAGAAAAAACACTCATTTAAACACTTCTAAGATTTAATATGCTATGTTGATGATGGCTAAATTTGTGATTTTAAATGTTTCAGTGGTGACCAGTTTTGGTTTGTTTTCATGCATTTTTTTTTTCTTAGTGGAAAAAAAATCTTAGATAAGAAATAATGAGAAAAGTTAAGAAAAGGTTAAGGTATTCATTTCAGTAAATATTTTGGAAAAATTGTAGATGGTAAAAGTGATAATGAGTGGAATGATAACAACTAGGCCTTTCCTATTTAGTTAATATACTTATTAACTAAATTATATATAATAATATAATATGACATATTTATATATTTATTATAATATAATAAATATATATTATAATATATTTATTATAATATAATATGTCATATTATATTATTATATTATATACAATAATATATATAACAAACAAAAAAACTCCCTTATTGTGACCAAACAAACAAAAAAAGCAATACATGTCATAACTGATAGCTGAGAAAGTTTGGTTCCTAACTCTCATTTCCCCTCACTTTTCCATCTCTTAAAAACTTGTCTTTGAGGACATGAAATTAGGAAAGGAGAAAAGGAAACAAGCAAGAAAAGCATGGGTTTTTCTTATTTTCTTTTTTTTTTCTTTTTCATGTGTAGACATATAAGCTTCATGTCTAAGTTTTGAATTGCAGAAGTGATCTAAAATCTGAGCGGACCACTCCACTTGAATGGAATATGAACCAAGTAGATGGAGTGAATCCTGATTTAGGCCACTTAACAAATTCCCAAGAGTTGGACACGGTGGGACACACCTGTAATCCCAGTCCTTGGGAGGCTGAGGAAGGCCAGCGTGGGCTACATAGAGTTCCAGCTGTGCTTGCTTGACATAGTGACACTGCCTCAGGAAAAAAAAAAAAATCCCAGCATGCACAACACCCAAAGACTCAAGTAAAGACTGAACCTCACCTCTGCTGAGCTCTTTCTTTCCTGTCCCCTCTTTCATCAGGGCATAGCAGAGGAAACAGAACAGAAAGCATTTCATGAATGAGCAGGATGGAAAGAATTGGCATGGAGCTACAAATAGTGTGTTGGAATAGACCATAGTGTGTTGGAATAGACCATAGCATGCAAAGTAGACTGAAAGCTCACCCTTTGGGTTATTTTTCAGTTATTGAAACACAATAACTGAGGAAAGAATTATTTTGGTCCATGGTTTCAGAGGTTTTGGTTCACAACCAGTTGACACCATTGTTTTTGGTTCTGTGATGAGATAGCATATCATAGCAGGAGTGTGTGGCAGAGGAAGCTGCTCACCTCATGGTCAGGAACAAAGGAGAGAAATGAGGCAGAAGAGACTAAGGTGCTACATTCCCCACAAGGTCATGACCTCAGTGTTCTAAAGATCTCAGTGTTCTAAAGCATGGGCTTTTGAGGGACATTACTTATAAGCAGCAGAAAGAGATTCCTCACAATGGCTTACAAAGAGTACAACTCTTAGAATCTGATAAAAGTATAAAGTAATTTTAAAATACCTTAAGGACAAGGTGATAAAATAATAAGAACGGGGCTGCACAGGGTGGTTTATACCTGTTATGCTAGCTACTTGGGAGGCAGAGATCAGGAGGATCATGTTTTGAGGCCAGGCAAAAAGTTCACAAGACCCCATTTCAACCAGTGGTTGTGTGTGGTGGCACATACCTGTCATCCCAGCTATATGGAGAAGCACAAATAAGAGAATCACGGTCCAGACTGGCCTGGGCATAAAGTGAGACCCTATCTTAAAACTAACCTCAACATGAAAAAGGACTAAAGCTCAAGTTGTAGAGCACCTACCTACCAAGCCCGTGGCCCTGAGGTCAATCTCCTTTACTGCTCACAACAACAATGATAACTATAATAATAAAGAAATAATTCTTCAGGTATCAACCAGAACAAGTCAATTTCCTACAGGGGAGAAAAATATCAAGGTGGGCTCAGACTTCTCCATCATCACATCTTGAATCATGCTTTCCAAAATGGGACCCGAGGATGGGAAAGCTAGCCAAGATGTTAAAGTTTGACGACCAAAGGGAAACATGCATAAATGTGAAAGAATAAAGAACTCTGAGACCTTGTTGAACAAAATACTTGATAATGAGGGTCCAGCCAATGACAAAACATGCCAAAATAACTCAGAAGTGGTGAATCCATGATGACAACTGCTGTTTGTTTAAATGTAGAACTATTACACAGCCATGGAAATTAGTGTTCAGGTGTAATATAAATGCCACAAATTGAGCAAAATAAAAATTATAACTAGAAAATATGGAAGATAGGGGACCAGAGACAGAAAAAGAGTCAAGATGTTCTCATCTTTCCCAGCAAGCAATCAGTACTATCCAAAATTATGACATTGTGTTTGAAAAGCAATCACATAGTTATTCCAATCTGTTTCCATTTTATAATCTTTTGTTGCCTTGGAATGATCATTTTGAACATAATAACTATTATACTGTGGAATCTTTTCTCTGAAGTTTAATAATCTTTTTTTCTTTTTCATCTCTACTATTCAACTATAGTTAAAATGCATGCTTTTCATCTTTAAAAAATTAGCACTGGGTGTGGTCCCATTTTGTATATTTTCTTTTCTTTTTTTGTGTGATGGATCAGACTCAGGACCTTGTACATGCTAAGTGAGTACTGTTTCTATCACAGAACTTAAAATCCCAGTTCTCTTTTCATGTATTCTTTTTTAAAAATAGTTTATCTTTGAGTTAGCATACATTAACTGTATAAGGGGATTTCATTGTGAGGATTCCATATGTGCATACAGTGTACCTTGAACAGGCTCACCCCTTCCTTTACACTTCGCCCCTCCCTCCTCGCCCTTTTCAGACAGTGCTTGGTGGGTTTCATTATGCTGTTTTCATATGTCTATATGGAACCTGCTTTGGTCCTCTTTGTCTCTCAGTATCCCTTCCTTTCTCCGTTCCACCAACCCCTCAGACAGTCCCCCATTTACATTCGTGTCCCACTATTATTACTGTCATCACCATCATTTTAGGGCTAGGCTCCACAAATAAGCAAGAGCATGTGATATTTGGCTTATCTCACTCAGCATGATCTCCAGTTCCATTCATTTTCCTGAAAATGGCATAATTTCATTTTTCTTTATAGCTGAGTAATATTCCATGGATATATATTTTTTTCTTTATGCATCAATTGGGCAAAAATTAAAAATAGACTTACCTTATACACCACATCACTCTTAGGCATATATTGGAAGGAGTATAAGAGATACCTGCATATCCATGTTTATTGAAGTTCTTTTCACAATAGTCAAACTGCATATTTTTGCAAAAGGTGGTTGTAATAATGTCCATCCAAAGTTAATATGATTATTTCTAGGTTGTCAGGCACTTTTTAAAAAACTTCAATCTTGAAAACATTCTACATTAAGAAAATATTATTCCCATAAACCTAATACAAATACAGCAATATTATGAAAAACAAGTCACGCTAAGGGGAGGTCACATATGAGAGAGGAAGGGTAAAAGAAGGAAGTTAAGAAAGTAAATATGGGTGATGTACTTTCTGTACAACAATGAATACAGAATTTTTAAACCTGTTGAAATCATAAGAAGGGAACTAAGAAAGAAGAAAAGTAGAGAACCAATTTGGATTATAATACATATATACATGGAAATGTCACAAGGAAACTCCCTGTGTAGCTCTTAAACAAAAACATCTTTTTTTTTTTTTTTAAAGTCAAAGAACAGGAGGGCTGAACAGGTTTTGTTGGTGGGCGGGTGCTAGTGCAGGGGGCAAGGAGATGGGGAAAGGGTGTAGAAGGATGAATTTGGTGCAAATACTGTGTACACATGTATATAAATGGAAAAATGAGACCTGTTGAAACTAATTCCAGGAATGGGGGAAGGGAGATAAAGGAGAATGATGGATGGGTGAATTCAAGTATAGTATATTTGATACATTATAAGAACTTTTATAAATGCCACAATGTACCCCCACCCAGAACAACAATAAAAAATAAATAAATAAAAATAAAATCTTATTCCCAGCTGGCAGAGTGTCTCAAGAAGTAAACAATATGAATATTTGAAATTATGTTCTTGGTATACTTAATTAGAATTAATGAGTTAGTGAGGAGAGAGTGAGAAAGAGAAAATGTGTGGTTGAGGGAATTTCCATCTGCACACATCATTTTTGGGGGGTTGAGTTCAGATATTCCCCCTCTACCAGGGCCCCAAATGGCATTGGAAAATCTTTTCCAGATCCATCTTGAGTAGTGATAGAAGCTATTGGCTCCAGTGAGCACATCTTCATGGCAATGGCTTAAGAGACCATTCTCTTTCCAGTAGAAGGTGTAGACCAGATTTAGGCACACTTGGAAAGAGGACAGGAAGGAGACACCATTTAAAAAAAATTGCACTTTAGGATTCAAACTTTTTGGACAGCTTTGTTGACATATAATTCACATATCCTAACAGTCACCCTTTTCATGTGTGTGATCCCATGGTTTCCGGTATACTTAACTACATCACCAAACTGCAAAACCATCACCACTGTCTGATTCTGGAACATTTTCACCACCCACATTCCCATCAGCAGTTCACTCAGTATAATGTTTTCAAGATTCACCTGTGTTGTAGCACATGACAGTGCTTTATTTCTTTTTAAGGCTGAATAATATACCATTGCATGGAACATCATATTTTGTGTGTCCTTATGTAGGTTGATGGACATTTGAGCTGTTTCCACATTTTTGCTGCTATGAACATTCATTTACAAGTTTTTGTGTGAACATCTGTTTATATTTTTCTTGGGCATATTCCTAGGGGTAGAATTGCTGGGTCATATGGTAACTATTTGTTTAGGAACTCAAACATTGAAACTGCCATCCTCCTCTTTATTCACAGGCAGAAATGGTGCATGGAGCTTTCCAGGCCCAGCGGGCTTTCCTTCTGATGGCATCTCAGTACCAACAACCTCAAGAGGTAAGAGTGTATTGTGAGATACACTGCCTAGCAAGGAGGCAGAGTAAGACAGAAAATAGGGTACCAACAGAGCCATTTCCTGTCAGAGACATCCAAAAAGGAGATGTATAGCACATGGAGTTTCTGTTCATAGTATGGAACAATTTCTTCATTATTTTAGTAGATATTTAAAAATATACATGCCAATTATAAGAAAAAGGCTCCTATAATATATCTTCTTATTATTAATACATGGCCAAATTCATACTATAACAACAGGCATCACCAGTTTCAAAGGTCAATTTATTTAAGTCATCTGTATCTTGTTCTTATTATTGGTCTCAGAATTTTTTATAATCAAGTCAATGTTTAATACTAATTTTTAGTTCTGATTTTGTGCTTCTTTATTACAAAGAACTGTTTCTGTCTGTGATCATCTATAAATTCTGTGTGTGGACTTACCAACTCCTGTATCGTAAGTAGCATAGATGGTCTAAACCAGTTCTTCTCAAATGTCTGTGTTTATAGGTCATCTAGGGAGCTTCATTGCAATTTCTGATTCATTAGGTCTGGAATATGCCCCGAGATTTTGTTTTTTAATAAGCTTGTAAGTGGATGAGCACCAGTGGCTCACACCTGTAATCGTAGCTACTCAGGAGACTGAGATAAGGAGAATCGCAATTTGAAGCCAGTCTGGACAAATAAAATATTTCACAAGACCCTATCTCAAAAAGACCCATTACAAAAAAAGGGCTGATGTGCAGGCCCTGAGTTCAAGCCCCAGTACTGAAAAAAAAAAAAAAAAGGTAATGTCCAAGCTGCTGGTCCTCCAGAAATGAAGAGAGCCTTCATGAATAAGTACTCAGGCATACCCCACCTCTCCTTTCTCTGCCACCAGGTATATGGATTAACCTTTCTTAAAGATATTTAAAGATATTACAGAATTGAATGCTAACTGTAACAGTAGTGTCCATATAGTCATTTTAATAACCTTTAATCATTAAACATTAAATCAGAGCATTGCAGTGTAAGACTCAGAGTAAATTACAAAGTACAAAGGGAATAAAAATGACAAAAGCAGATATTAAGAAGACAGTGATGATTGGCCTGATTCCTTCCCGGTCACCAGGCCACCATAAAGTCTTCATCCTCTAAGCCCAGCCCCCACTCCACAAGCCCAAACCACTGATGTCATATCATGCAAATGCCTGCCTTCCCTTTTCTAACCATTCGTAATAACATTTTGACCATAATGATTGTGTACTAATGGAATTACACACAAAAAAAGTAAGTCTACTACCAGTATACCTTGTTAGATGAGAAAAAAGAATTGTTCTTTTGACTAATTTGCATCTGAAATTTGATAACAATTATGTAAATAAAAAGATAAACTGAATATTCATTATGGTGCAATAACTTAAATGTAATAGCTCGCTTTGAATTCTAAAATTAACTCCTAAAATTGAAAAGATTGAGCTGTTAATCCTAGGAATCCAGGCCTTTGATCTTCAATAGATGACACTTGGCTCCTTGAAAGTACAACAACCGAGATGCTAGCACCTCCCTGAAATAGTTGTTCCCAGCCTTGCTTTCTCAGTAACCGGGAATTTTTTATTTTTTTAATGTTATTGTCTGGATCCACTCCAAGAAGTTCTGACTTAATTGGTCTAAGGAATGGTCTTGACTTTCAGAGTTCTAGAGCTCCACAGGTGATTTTAACCTGTAACCAGAGCCGTCGATCCCACCTAAGATGGATGCGTAGCTTCCCTCTATGTGAAAAGAGGAGTTAGCACACAGTCTAGGCAGGCAGCTCTGTAGGAATGGAAATGTTCCATGTTCTAGTTTAAATGCACTTCCCTCCTTGGCCTTCTCAGCCCTTGCTTGGCAAAGAGAGAAATGAAACTAGGAAATTATAATTCTAAGTTTAACCTTAGCCTGCCTTTTCTGACTGAAGTGAGAGGAGAGGAGGTTTTAACTGAATCTTGGGTAGAAGAAGAACCGAGACTTTCCTCGCTGGGTCTCCAGAAAGTTCTTTCTCTATGCCCAGAACAAGAGCCCTGTCCACTGACCTTGCTGACCTTGCACAGTCACTCAGTAAAAATTGGATGATAATTTAACTAATGAACCAATGAACGAGTGAGGGCTGGGGGCATAGCTTAGAGGTAGAGCTTAGTATGCATGTGGCCCTAGACTCAATCCCCAGCACAGGGAGAAAGGGAGGAAGGAATGGAGGAAGGAATGACCAAGTGAGTGGATGTATTAGGACTTTGACATCCCCAAATAAACCATGGCCAAGGATACTGTGTGGCTTATCGTGTGTCTGTGCAGATTCTTGGGTATGATATCTACAGTTTCCCCTTCTTGTTGAGCTGCATTCTTGATAAAAGAGAGAGCAACTGGCTCAAAGGGAAACATACATTGGAATTGTCCAGTGAAGCTCTTATCACCAAATTCCTAGTGTAGTCGGCTTAGCAGAACTAGATGGGTCAAGTGCAAAGCAGTTTTTGTGGTGCCCACCCTCCTTTCTGATCTCCATCTACTGCTTTTTTCTCTTTACCCAGAGCACTATTCTGGAACCTTCCCAAGGTGGAAAGGCAGATTTCTGAAATTGTCACCACAATAGTGAAAAACAGTCTGTAGTCAGGCTTTGATCTTCCCTATGTGAATTTTAGAAGATACATCATAAAGAACTGAACAAAGCACATGGGATTTTTTTATGGGAGCGGTATCATATCTTCCATGTGGCCATTTGTTCCTTCTTTCAGAAGGAAGAGTGTTAACTACTATAATTTCCACTCTCATTGCCATCCAGCAGTGGTTCTCACGCTGTAGTGTGCATGAGAACCCCCGAGGGGAGTTGTTAAATCACAGAATACTGGGCTCCACTTACACAGTTTCCACTTCAGTAGGTATTGGTGGACGCTCAGAATTCACAGTTCTGAGGAGCCCCGGGGGTGGAGATGCTCCTGATCCAGGAGCCACGTTTTGAGGACCTGTGTTGAGAATTGAACCCACCTTTACACTTCAAACTCAACTTTATTTCAGGAGCTTCAGTATTTCACTTCTAGGTGCCTCTAGATCACTACTTCTCAATCTTCATTTGAGTCACCTGAAGATCTTGTTAAAGTGCACAGTCCAGTACAGTAGGTCTGAGGTGGGGTCCACAAGTCTATGACAAATTCCCAGGTGATACTGCTGGTCTGTCACTACACCTTGAGCAGCAAGACTCAAGTCCTTGCCACTAGAAATCCCCACAAGCACAAGATCCCTTAGTAGACAAATACCAAACTTATTCTTGTCAGCTAATATTTCTGTATCATATGAGGCTGTGTTATGCCACAGTCCTGAACATTACCAAAACCGTAGTGACTTAGAACAGCAGAGGTTTACTTCTAGCTCTAAGTGTGTGACTATTCCACTTCAACTTACATTCATTCTAGTGGAGGAATTATTAAGTAATTGCTCATATAATTATTTATATGAGTTTTAATAGGGCTCTGAGAGAAAGGATAGAGAGTGACTTTTTAACAGCAGTTTTGGACACAGGGAGGAAAGATATTTAGGGCAGGAAGACCTTCCAGGTAGTGCTTTGGGTCTTCTTCTGAAGGTGACCGTTTATGCTGCTGAAGCAAAGCTAAACCAACTTTAGTGGTCATTTGTGGCCTCAGCCACATGAGACTGAGCAGGGAACCTAGTTCTGCCTTGCCCTAGATTTCTGACCTTCAGAAACTGAAGGTCAGGAAATGGGTGCTGCTTAAGCCACTACTTTGTTATGTAGCAATAGAGAATCAAATTACCATGGTTCTTTCATGCTGGACTCTAAAACAATTTTTATAAGACCAGTAGGCCACAAACCAAAATGCGCCCCCTTCCTCTACTCACACCCCTCCACTTATCCTGGGGGTTATCTGAAGCCCTGACTGACAACGGTGACATTCAGTTTCAAATTTCCTTTCTCATTTTGGCATAGCACAGGAGGTCTCTCACAATTACAATTTTTCAAATTTTTCAACTATGACCCATGGGAAAAAATATATTTTGCTTCACCATCCAGTTTCACAAAACAACAGTGATTCTTACCATGTGCAAAGTACTCTGGTATTTTTCATGTTCTATTTTTTTTTTCTTTTAAAGACAGGTCATGACCATCAGAATCGATTTCATGACATACTAATGGATCACGCCTTGTAGTTCAAAAGCACCTGTCTCATTGATATATTATAATAAATATTCATGACATAGAACTCATTATGAAACATTTACAGAACATCTCATGCTTTTCTTGTCTCCCATGTCATTACTTATAAAATTTATCTTTGGGCAAAAGAATGTCCCAGTCCTTACAGTATGGTCATGTAGGAATTTTAGTGGCAATTTATGAAGCCTGTCTTTTTCCATTAATGGGAGATTATTGTATGGAAAATTTCCCAGAAGCCCCTACTTTGGGTCAACTACTCATTGACTTTTATAACATGTGGGTATTGGGGAAAGTCTGTTACTTCTAGTTCACAAACATGAAAAATTATATGTAATGATACATTAATGACCTAGCTGCCTGGGCACATTCCTTTTTTTATAATCTGTTATAAAACAATGTGTTAGCCTGTTTTCTGTTACTGTAATAAAATACCTGAGTCTCAGTACTTTTTAAAGAAAAGAGATTTATTTAGCTCACAGTTTTGGGGGTAGAAAGTCCAAACAATATGGCACTGGTTCTGGAAAGAGCCCTGCCTCCCAAGCTATTTCACATCATGGCTGATGGCATCAAAGTGAGACCAGGTATGACAGAGAGAGAGATCACGTGGTGAGATAGGAAGCCAGAGACCAGGGAGGGGTCAGTTTGTTCTTCTATAACAATCCTCTTGTAGGACTTAACCAGGGTCCCATGAGAACTTCTGAGGGCAGCTTCCCCAGTGACATATTACTTCCCACTAGGCCTCACTTCTTAAAAGCCCCACCATCTCTCACACCATCACACTTAGGGCTAAGCTTCCAACACATGAACCCTTGGTGGGGACACA